TCTCTGTCCAGGATGGACCCCTCTCTCTGTCCAAGATGGACCCCCTCCTCTCTGTCCAAGATGGACCCCCCCCTCTCTCTCCAAGATGGACCCCCTCTCTGTCCAAGATGGACCCCCTCCTCTCTGTCCAGGATGGACCCCTCCTCTCTGTCCAGGATGGACCCCCCCTCTCTGTCCAAGATGGACCCCCTCCTCTCTGTCCAAGATGGACCCCCCCTCTCTGTCCAAGATGGACCCCCTCTCTCTGTCCAAGATGGACCCCTCTCTCTGTCCAGGATGGACCCCTCCCCCCCTCTCTGTCCAAGATGGACCCCCCCTCTCTGTCCAAGATGGACCCCCTCTCTCTGTCCAAGATGGACCCCTCTCTCTGTCCAAGATGGACCCCCTCCTCTCTGTCCAAGATGGACCCCCCCTCTCTGTCCAAGATGGACCCCCTCTCTCTGTCCAAGATGGACCCCTCTCTCTGTCCAGGATGGACCCCTCCCCCCCTCTCTGTCCAAGATGGACCCCTCTCTCTGTCCAGGATGGACCCCTCCTCTCTGTCCAAGATGGACCCCCTCCTCTCTGTCCAAGATGGACCCCCTCTCTGTCCAAGATGGACCCCCACCTCTCTGTCCAGGATGGACCCCCTCCTCTCTGTCCAGGATGGACCCCCTCTCTCTGTCCAAGATGGACCCCCCTCTCTGTCCAAGATGGACCCCCCTCTCTCTGTCCAAGATGGACCCCCTCCTCTCTGTCCAAGATGGACCCCCCCTCTCTGTCCAAGATGGACCCCCTCTCTCTGTCCAAGATGGACCCCTCTCTCTGTCCAGGATGGACCCCTCCCCCCCTCTCTGTCCAAGATGGACCCCTCTCTCTGTCCAGGATGGACCCCTCCTCTCTGTCCAAGATGGACCCCCTCCTCTCTGTCCAAGATGGACCCCCTCTCTGTCCAAGATGGACCCCTCTCTCTGTCCAAGATGGACCCCCTCCTCTCTGTCCAGGATGGACCCCTCCTCTCTGTCCAGGATGGACCCCCTCTCTCTGTCCAAGATGGACCCCCCTCTCTGTCCAAGATGGACCCCCCCTCTCTCTGTCCAAGATGGACCCCCCCTTCTCTCTGTCCAAGATGGACCCCCCCCCTCTGTCCAAGATGGACCCCCCCTCTCTGTCCAAGATGGACCCCCCCTCTCTGTCCAAGATGGACCCCCCTCTCTCTGTCCAAGATGGACCCCCCCTTCTCTCTGTCCAAGATGGACCCCCTCCTCTCTGTCCAGGATGGACCCCTCCTCTCTGTCCAGGATGGACCCCCCCCTCTCTGTCCAAGATGGACCCCCTCCCCTCTATCCAAGATGGACCCCCCTCCCCTCTGTCCAAGATGGACCCCCCCCTCTCTGTCCAAGATGGACCCCCCCTCTCTGTCCAGGATGGACCCCTCTCTCTGTCCAAGATGGACCCCCTCCTCTCTGTCCAAGATGGACCCCCCCTCTCTGTCCAGGATGGACCCCCCCTCTCTGTCCAAGATGGACCCCTCTCTCTGTCCAGGATGGACCCCTCTCTCTGTCCAAGATGGACCCCCTCCTCTCTGTCCAAGATGGACCCCCCCCTCTCTGTCCAAGATGGACCCCTCTCTCTGTCCAAGATGGACCCCCTCCTCTCTGTCCAAGATGGACCCCCCCCCTCTCTGTCCAGGATGGACCCCCCCTCTCTGTCCAAGATGGACCCCTCTCTCTGTCCAGGATGGACCCCTCTCTCTGTCCAAGATGGACCCCCTCCTCTCTGTCCAAGATGGACCCCCCCTCTCTGTCCAGGATGGACCCCCCCCTCTCTGTCCAGGATGGACCCCTCTCTCTGTCCAAGATGGACCCCCTCCTCTCTGTCCAAGATGGACCCCCCCTCTCTGTCCAAGATGGACCCCCCCTCTCTGTCCAAGATGGACCCCCTCTCTCTGTCCAGGATGGACCCCTCTCTCTGTCCAAGATGGACCCCCTCCTCTCTGTCCAAGATGGACCCCCTCCTCTCTGTCCAAGATGGACCCCTCTCTCTGTCCAGGATGGACCCCTCTCTCTGTCCAAGATGGACCCCCTCCTCTCTGTCCAGGATGGACCCCCTCCTCTCTGTCCAAGATGGACCCCCCTCTCTGTCCAAGATGGACCCCTCTCTCTGTCCAGGATGGACCCCCTCCTCTCTGTCCAAGATGGACCCCCCCTCTCTGTCCAAGATGGATCCCCTCCTCTCTGTCCAAGATGGACCCCCCCTCTCTGTCCAAGATGGACCCCTCTCTCTGTCCAGGATGGACCCCTCTCTCTGTCCAAGATGGACCCCCTCCTCTCTGTCCAAGATGGACCCCCCCCCTCTTTCTCAAATATGGACCCCCTCTCTGTCCAAGATGGACCCCCTCCTCTCTGTCCAGGATGGACCCCTCCTTTCTGTCCAGGATGGACCCCCCCTCTCTGTCCAAGATGGACCCCCTCCTCTCTGTCCAAGATGGACCCCCCCTCTCTGTCCAAGATGGACCCCCTCTCTCTGTCCAAGATGGACCCCTCTCTCTGTCCAGGATGGACCCCTCCCCCCCTCTCTGTCCAAGATGGACCCCCCCTCTCTGTCCAAGATGGACCCCCTCTCTCTGTCCAAGATGGACCCCTCTCTCTGTCCAGGATGGACCCCTCCCCCCCTCTCTGTCCAAGATGGACCCCCCCCTCTGTCCAAGATGGACCCCCCCTTCTCTCTGTCCTGGATGCCCCCCCCTCTGTCCAAGATGGACCCCCCCTTCTCTCTGTCCAAGATGGACCCCCCCCTCTGTCCAAGATGGACCCCCCCTTCTCTCTGTCCAAGATGGACCCCCCCCTCTGTCCAAGATGGACCCCCCCTCTCTGTCCAAGATGGACCCCCCCCTCTGTCCAAGATGGACCCCCCCTCTCACCTATAGACAGCTGGAGACGGGCACCAGCAGCCCTCCCCACCCCAGCAGGGATAAAGCGTGACAGAACATGGATGATGGATAAAGGAATGTTTCTATGGCGGACGTGCTTCTACTGGGAGGAGCTGATGGAGTCATGAGGAACCAAACAGGAAGTGACATCATCAGAGATCACATCCGTCCAGGAAGCTCAATCCGTCCTGCACATGTGCAAACAGATATACATCCAGGTTTCTATCAATGATGTCATTATGGTGCTAAAATCATTTACTTGTGTCCTTAACTCACTAAAGAATGATAATAAACATCTTCAAAAAATATTTAATGACTTTTGTGAGAATTTTGATGCTTTTTCCATTTTCTCCATCAAACAGCTTCTCTGACGATCAGAGCAGTAAATCTGATTAAATCATGTTTATCTGCATTCTAGTTGTTTCTTTCTATAGATTAACTATATAGCATCATGTTAACATGAAAGGAAAACATTAAACTATAAAAGACTAGATTTATTTTTAAATCCAAAGCTGATAAAGTTAGCGCCTGGAATTAGCGTAGCATCCCATTTCCTGTACAGATCAGTTTATTAACCTTTAACACATTATAGTTTAGTGCATTTACTATTTTTGGGGAGAGAAAAACATCATTTAGGTTGTTTTAACTAAATAAAATAAAGAGCAACCCTGGATGGATATCTGGAAATGAGCCGATGGCGCCGGACGGATCAGGTAGAGACAGAGACCCAGAAGCCCCACCTCCTCCGTCACCAGCGCTCCTACGTGTTATCTTGATTTTGAGTATTTGGGGAAAAAAATGTTCAAAATTTATTTTTTTCAGATTATTTTCAACATGTTTTATATTTTGGATTTGTTTTTTTCAGCTTACATTTTACAAATTTCCCATTTTTTTTAAATTGCATTTTCCACAATCAGGGGGGGTTTACCATTATTAGGCAATACCAGGCAGCTGCTTAGGGCCCCAAGTTCCTGGGGCCCCATAAAACTCTTTTTACATGTATGGTTAATACAACTATTCCTTATTTGTGCACATTAATTATGTTTTTGCTAAAATGCCATCAGAACGCCGATAATATTAAGTGTGTCTCAGCCCCCCCCTTCAGTGTCCACCATATTGGATCAGTCCATTTGCTGCACATGTTCAGAAAGGTCCAAACAGACAGCAGCAAACCATTTGAAAACAAACCATGCAAAGAGCAGTGTTGCCAACTTAGCGCTTTAGTCGCTATATTTAGCCACTTTTCAGACCCCTCTAGCACTTTGATTTCTAAAAAGCTCCTAGCGCCAAATCTAGAGACTTTTTTCTGCTACTGGAGACTTTGGAGACAACATCTAAAAGCAGCGAACTCTGCTCTCCAGAGCAAGTAGATTGGTAACCCCGCCTCCTGCTCTCCTCTATCTTGTCTGCTGTCATGATTCAGCTACTGAAACAAGTCGGACTTTACGAAGGAAAAGAGCGAAACAAGGAAGCAAAGGAGGGAAAGAGTTTCGGTTTATCTGAAGTCTGCATTAAAAAGGTTTTAACTGAAGGCGACATCTAGAATGATTTCCCCTTCAGATGGATCCAAAGTGGATCAAACGGTCAGAACCGTTCTGATCCCAGAGCTCCGACCCAGCTGCCTGTTCTGGCGCTGAAAGGGTAACCAGCGGCGTCCAGCGGCGTCCAGCCGCCCTCAGCGTTCCAGCGAGGAACTCCTACTTCGTGCTGGTCAGTACCAGCGATCCGGACCGATGGCTGTTAGTATCCGTAGCAGAACCGGGTTCCCAGCTCTGCGCTGCTGCAGGCGGCCGACCCAGATAGAAACCGGTTCCCTCAGAGTCCAGGTCCGCAGTCAGGCCTGCAGGTCCTGGATCAGCAGGCTGATCGGGTCAGAACCAGGCTGGATAATAACAGAGAAGGAAATTCTGGTTCTGGTTCCAGTTGGCTCCGCCTCCTCAGCAGCTCTAATCTGACAGACCTTCATCTCACATCGGGTTCCTCCTCCTCTTCATCAGAAACCAACCTGAACCAGTGAGGGAGGCAAAGGAGCAGCGGCGCCCCCTGCTGTTCAGATCAACCAGGAATGAAAGAAGGTTTATCTTCTCACCTGAGGCGGAAGCAATGCATCCTGGGATGTGAGGAGACCAGATGGCGCTGTAGACGACCCCTTCGTGACCTCTGAGCGTCACCAGCGACGGGCCCAGGTTCTGATCCCACTGTGGGGGGAGGAAAGGGAAGGTTAGAGAGGAAGAGAAGGAAAGGAGGGAAGGAAGGATAGGGGGAGGAGCCTCACCACTTTAACGGTCCGATCCCAGGACCCGGACCCCAGCAGGTTTTCCCCTCTGGTCTGACTCCAGTCCACCGCGTAAACCTGCACAGAGCGAGGAGCTCAGACCCGGCAGCCGGACGGCGCCGGGTCTGAGCTGCTGTGTGGGCGGTACCTCCTGGGTGTGCTCTCTGGCCACTCTGAGCGGAGCCGTCTGATTGGCTGAATCCCACAGCTGCAGGCTGCCGTCTCCGCCTCCCGCCACCAAGACGTGCTCGTTAGCTTCGCTCCACGCCACGTCAAAAAGGCCGTCGCCCCAGTCCCAGCTGGAACACACACAAAGTTCTTCAGAACCTCTGAGGGATCCGGTTTACAGAGACTGACAGAGCGGAGGCGGTACCTCCGGACCAGGAACATCCCAGCATCCGTCTGATCCAGAACCAACAGGGAACCAGAACCTGCAGAGACCCAGAGAGGGAACAGAACCTGATGGAGCCGTTACCATGGAAACCAGGAGGCAGCAGAGTATCTGATACTAGAAATATTTATCATAAATATATATCCTCCTATATATATATGATATAAATATATATCATTATTATTTATAAACCTATTTTATTTTTCATTCTCTTTATTTTAAAGTTTGTTTTGTGTTTAAATCAGGATCTACTTTCATTAACATTTTGGATTTTCCAACTTTTTAAAACGTTTTTAAAATGCATTTCATTATAAAATGATTTTATAAATAAATCATTTTACTTCCAGCATATTTAAAGACTAAATAATGAATAATTAATCATAATTTAGAAGAGAAATCAGGAAAAATGTATTTCTATGGTTATCATTATTATTGTTACCTTTAATTGTGCTTAATTCTTGTAAAGTGAGTTTTTAGATCAGTGTTTTATAAATGAAATAGATAATTATTCTTCTGGTTATTTGTAGAAACTCTGCAGACGACGTTTCTGATCTGGATCTTTGTTCTGCTGCTGAAGACGGATCAGAAAAGCTTTTCTTAACGACTAAAGGTCAACCGCTGCAGCTGCAGTCTGGCTGCGTGCAACGCACCAAAACACGGGGATCAGACCAACTCACTAACGTCTCACCGTATGCCGATGATCTGTTCCTGTTTCTGACCCTTAAAATAGAGAATTTCAGTTTAATATCTGGTTATAAATAAATATTAATAAAAGCTCATTATTTCCATTAATGTTTCACAGGAGGAGATCTGAACAATTTAAATATCTATCATTACAAAAATCCTTTAAAGGCCTTTATGGTCAAAATAAAGGAAACTTGTTGCACAAACAGATGCAGACATTAGCAGGTCATGTGACCATTATCAAAATGACTGTTTAGGTTTTGTTCCGGTGTTTTCCTTTTTTAATTCACTTTTTATTATATTATTGGGCTTTTAATTAAGAAAATATCTGATGCTGGATTTGGAAATTTCCTCCTCATTGAATGAAGATAGAAGAGGATTGTTCTATACCTTCTAACATCTAAATAAACTCTGTTGCCTCTAATTTATTTAGTATATGGAAGCAACTTTAAAGACATTTAGTCTTTGTTCCAGTCCTCTGCAGGGATTTTAAAGAATTATACCTGGAGAGAAATATCAGCTGTGCTGCTGCCATCAACACCTTTGTTTGTAGATGTTGGAGCTTGGCCTGTTTTCCAGTGTAGTCCTGTTTCTCTGACTGTGACTAACTGGATGTGCTCTCTTCATCCTCTGACATGGGAGCTGGCTCGGAGCTCGTCTGCCTGGCTGTGTGTTTCCTGGACGGGGCCGCCTGTGGAGCTGGTTGACAGTTGCCTTTTGTATCTATGCTTCTTTTTCTATGTCTGCTTCTGTCTCCTTGAACCCCAGTGGGCCTCAGCAGATGGCCGCTCACACTGAGCCTGGTTCTGCTGGAGGTTTCTTCCTGTTCAAAGGGAGTTTTTCCTCTCCACTGTCGCTACAAGCATGCTTAGTGTGAGGGATTGCTGAAGAGTCAATGAGTCGATGCAATCAGCTGGTTTTCCTTAGATAGAAAATTTTGAATCAATCTGACTGGATGATCTGGTTGATCTGGATCTATAAAGTGAGATGACTTGATGTGAATTGGAGCTATAGAAATAAACTGAATAGAATTTAATTAACGAGGCGAGCAATTGAACGGATAAAATCGATTGGTTGTATTTTCAACTGTGTCCTAAATATCAATACTTGTTTTGTTGTTTTTTTTCTTTAACTTTCTTTATATTTTAATATTTAAATGTCCTTTTTTATAAACACACATAGGGTTTGGTTTTTTGTTGTATTATAAGTAATATATCCATAAATAATTAATAATTTAAC